TGAGAGGTTAAGTGTAAAACCATTGAGGGTAATACCTGATGGGCTAATCTTGCATCTGCCCACAGTCCTTGGGTTTTTATAAGGTGGCTTGACCCAATGACCATTTAGTGTAAATGTTGGGCCCATTAAGAGCCCATGGTGATGGACTTAGGGGTTCACTGTCTCCTATAGTGAATTCGACCAGGCCTTATAACAGAGGCCAGGCTGAACCCACGTGACTGATGTGTAGATCAATGTTTGGGTCTCACGCTACACAAGGATATCCAACTGGGCAGCAAATAGGATGGTAAGTGAGCAAATGGACTTAATGGGCCTAAAGCCCAAATCGGACTAGTATAATGTGATTAATTAAAAGATGGCGATTTTGGGATTCAGATCAGCAGATAGGATAAGGGATTATCCCTATCCACTCAAAGAGTCTAGATCCAAATAAAGATTTGGATAAGGAAACTCCTAATTAGATTAGGAGGGCTGATCTTTATCTGCAGATAAGATAAGGGATTATCCTTATCTCTTAAAGAGAGTCCAGATCCAAATACAAGATTTGGATTAGGAAACTCCTAATGGGATTAGGAGAACCTCTCTTTAAAGGCTATAAATAGAGCAGCAAGGGGCAAACCAAAAACACACAGAAAAGAAGAGAGATCTTCTGATTCGCAGATCACAAGAAAGAATTCTTGCAGTTCGACTACTTCAGATTTCTACCCTTTCCTACTCTTGCCACCTCTGCTAGTTCGATCTCCACCTGTAGGAGCGATCAAGAAGAGTTCTTGATATTATCTTTTGGGAGAAAAGATAATCAGAAGTCGTGCTCACCTGCCCTCCGTCGAGTTCTTGCTGAAGAATTCGGTTCTTGCTGAAGAACCATCCTGCTTATTCTGATCCACCCTACGCTGTGTCATCTTCAGTGGGAGCAGTCTTTGGTTTTCTCCTTGGGCGTGAACACCCTTGTTGGGGGTTACTACTACTCCATATCCGGTATATCCCTCTCCTACCTTTTGGTTTCAGATCTGGTTCGGTTTGGGTTCAAAATGATCATTGAAAATGCAATTTTCTAAAATAGGGAATGTGATTCCCACATGGGAGAGAGAGAAATTTTTGAAATTTCGCCCAACCTACCTGCAGGGTTCGGCCATCCATATGATGGATCTCTCATCCCTTCATTGATGTCATTTGGTAGTGTGTGACATCAGTAGGCTACCAAGACAATGAAGCTCCTCAGCAGAAAACCTTTGGACATCCTTGCTTTGATACCAAGTTGTAAAACGCAGGCTAGAAGGAGGAAGAAGATGAAGAAGAAAAGAAGAGGAAGAAGAAGAATAAGAGAAAGAACCATTCATATAAGTGGTGTGTGTTACTGTTCACTCACACAAAGAAGAATTTAGATTAGGTGACCAAGTTTCATATATGCCCTTAGTTATAGGTGCCCATATACAAATAAGCCCTTACCAACAAAACATATTCTCAACAGAACCATTAATCTGCATTGGTGTTTTCATTGATTTAGCATAATCTGGTAATTTTGATTCACTGTGGCAATTGACATTTATGGGGCTTGGGATAGAGATATTGGGGTTGGATTTGGTATGTAATGCAATCTACTTTAGAAGAGTTTTATCCAAGTTGATTGTTAAAAGCTTTTATAAAATTCTGGTGTTGTAATTCATTCTGGTTCTCAATGACAATAACAGGTTTTTGAATTTGAATGGGGAGGGATTTCGACAGGAGCTGTTGGGATTGTAGCTTCATTGTATATACGTTTAGCATCATACGGAGATGGAGAAATTATCTCAAGGTGTATGTCTTGTACCCTGGAAAGTCGATTTTTGGTTGTGTTTGAGTTTCATCAAAAGTTTATGTTGGGGAAAATTTTAATTAAAAAATTAAATTTCTTAACACTTGAAACAGTTAATTGGCAGGATTCCTTCCTGTTCTAGGCTTCTAGCTGGGATTGTGTTTTTTTTTGGTTTTATCACTTGTAAATATTAATTTCATATGTCCTCAAAAGGTGGATTAGTGGACTATAGTTTGCTCCTTGAGCACCATAAGTGTTTGAGAGGCATTGTAGATGCATCCGTCCTCTGACATGTTTAAGTTTGCATTGCAAGAATTTTGTTCAGGTGGTATTTGGTACTTCCATATACTAATTCAACCAAATTGTTTCTAACTAAAACTTGTGTTGGACAGAAAATTTGTGATGTTCTATGATCTGGTGTTGATTTGATTGCCAAGTGGCACAAAATGTTAGATTGTGGTTACAAGTCACAGTTTATGGATGGCCAGAAAGAGAAGTTTGTAAGGTAAAAAATGTATGGGTATCTTCTATCATTAGATTTTTCTTTTTTTTTTTAATGTGGATATGAAAAGTCTTTTTTTTTTTAGCATTTTGGACAATACTTTATTTTTTGTCAAGCACTATCTTTTTGTTTGACAGGCCCTTTTAGCAATTTTGTGTCATTGGGAATTACTTTACATACCTCTGTTGTCAGGAATGAGAAAAAGGTTAGCTTATAAACAAGTAGAGTATAGAAAGTTGGAAACTAGAATAACCCCATGGCAAGAATAAGTGACCAGGATATCCAATCCACAACTTCTATAAAACATCAAAAAATGGTACAAGGATTATAGAATCCATGGTACATTGTTTCTATTTTGGCCTTTCTATTTGAAGATTATTTCCTAAAGCATTTATGAATGTTGGCATTCATTGGAATGACATGTTTATCCTAGATGATAAAGTATGTGCCTCTTTAATAAGGTGTGATAATTTCCTGGGAGCTCTTTCTTGAGAAAGCTTAAGACCCCAAGGTTCTTGCTATCTCAAAAATAGTACTAGTTTCAATTGCTTGTGAAGAAACCTCAAAATTTTGGAAACTGGGGTTCTTGATGGAGTATGGGGGTGAAGTTTTTGTAGAATGAAATATTCCTTTTCCATTTACAAGATCTGTTTTCTATGGCAAAAAAGCGAATACTTGTAGGAAAACTAGCTCAGCATTTGAGTCTTCTTGAAGCATGTTTGGTAGGAAGATTCGTGGGCACTGATTCTGATGCAGAGGAGGTGAGAAGATGAATGGTAAAGGAATAGAATGTGGATGATTGTTGTTTTTTTGATAGAACTTTGATGGGAGTAGACAGTGTGACCCAGGGACCCTTTGGAATAGGAGAGGTGTTGAGAGATAAGGACTGTAACATATTATCTCTTTTCTTTGGTCCAGTAGGTTTGGGAGACTCTAATGGGGCTGAACTCTTAGCAGTTCTACAAGGTATTCAATTTGCACATCAACTTGGAGTGGAGAATTTAATAATTGAAGGAGACTGTTAAGTTGTTGTGGGTTGGCTGATTGATTCGGATTCAGGGGTTTGGTGCTACAGGGACCTCTTAAAGAAAGCCAAGTGGGTAACAAGAAACATGAGCATTATTTTACCTCATGCCTCTCCTTGGGATGCCTGTAATAGTTTTCTCATCTTGTTAATAAAATCACCATTCAATTATAAGAAAAAAGAAAGAATAATACCATTAGATAAAATGGACTTTTTGAATGCAAAGTATAATGTAGAAAGAATGTTAGAGAGGGAGATACAAATAAGCAAATCCTTGTTTTTCTTTTTATTGGGGAGGAGGAGCTTTTGCTAGGAGGCTTTTGAAGAGACAGAAGGCAGGAGAAATTGTAGAAGAAGGTTTAATTAGATTAAAAATTGAGGGTGTATAAGATTTACAGGAATCAAAGCATTGGCTAGTTGGGGAGAAGGGGGTAAAAAATAGGGAGCTATCTAAACTGATAAGATCGGGTGGTGAAGAAATAAATAAAGGGAATTTATATATAACAGGGCTTTGTTTGCCGAACAATGAGGTTTTTGTCATGGAATGTGAGGGAGTTAGTGATGCTTGAAGAAGAATGCATGTTAAGATTTAGTAAGAACCAACAAGATAAAATTCTTATTACCACAAGAGACCAATCTACAGGATTTTGACGTGAAGCTGAGAGTTGAAATTTGGGGATCTGATGCTGGTGAATGGGTGGAGGTATAAGTTGAAGGTCTAGCTGGTAGAATGGTGATAGTGTGGGATTGAAGGCTAAATTCTGAAGTGGGGGGAAGAGGTATATTTTCTATTTTTTCATATGCATGTCTTAAGACTGTGGAAGGAATGGTTGGTCTCAAACAAATATGGACATACTGAAGATGGGGAAAGGGAAGAGTTAGAAGGAGCACATCAACAGTGGGATCTTCCTTGATGTTCAGTGTGGATTTTAACTTGGCCAGATGATTGAATGATATGAAGGGGGGGGGGGAGGGAGAACTAAGTTAGGGGCAATCACTTTCAGCTCAGCCTGACCTGCACATATAAACACACACGTGTATGTGTTATTACGTGTTATGTTTTATGTTTTATACATAAATATTATAATATGACACCTACAGTACATATTATATAGAATATTTTACATTATATGATGTATGACACAACTTCTATATTATATGCCATTTAATATAAAATATTATATATATTTAATACTTTAAGTATAAAGACATAGTCCTGGAACCTGGTCCATGTTCACCCCTAAACAAAGTTATGGCAAGAATACAAAAGTTTCGTGTTTTTATAAGAAGAAATGCATTACTAGATCCTATATCAGGTGACAAATTCATTTTGTCAAATGGTCAAGATCCTCTTATCCTTAGAAGGCTGGATAGACTTTTATTCTCTACTTGTTGGGAGATCTAACATGATGGTTTGATTCAACAAATTCTAACCAACCGTTTATAAGGCCATAATCTGATCTTATTAACTGTGTTTTCTTTAATCCGTGATGACCCTTTATCCCTGTTGCTTTTTGTATTGGTGGTTGTGAAGTGCTAAATGTCTTATTGAACAAAGGAATGGAGTTGGGAATAATAGAGGCTTTTAGGTGGGATATATGTGGATGACACACATTTTTTCTTGATGTGTTGGTGGATTAAGTCTTGAATCTAATAGCCATCCTAGAGAGTTTTGAGATGCTATTAAGCTTGAAAGTGAATCTTTCAATGAGTGTTATATTTAGAGTTAGTGAAACAGCAGTGGGACAGCTAGAATAATGTGCACCTGCATTGGGTTGCCAAATTGGAGAGTTCCCTTTTACTTACTTGGGTATGTGTTGTGAGACATAATATGTTAATGGGCTTAAATTTGTTTTGGTTAGTAGTGGACGGGGCTTATATATTATGTATTTCTTTGTTTTTTCTCAGCCCACCTAGTAAGGGGATTCTATGCAATTTTCTTCTCCTTTAAATCTTAATATAAATTTTTCTGGGTAGAGCAGAAGAGAAATCTTCCACCCCATTCTCAAAACACTTTGACGCTTCCATTCTCTCTTCTTCATTCTTCCTTAACAAACTACATGGTATCAGAGCTCTAGAAGTTTTCTCTTCAAGAATTGGAGCTTCTTCTCTTGTTTTCTTGCTGTTCTTGTCATCTTGTCCAACCCAGGGGAGCTGAAGTTCTAGATTGTTTGTGGGCTCCTAGAGCACCTGTTCTTCCTCTAGGGTCTTTCCTTGGAAGAGAAAACAAGGAAACCCTAAGAAATATTGTTTATGCCCTATTAGGGTAAGAAAAGGAGCAGTCACAGACCGCTAGTGAGATTTGAGTTCCGGTCAAGGATTTTGCAGCAAAGGGGAAATAGCTAAAAGTTTGTTACACCAAGAAGTGTAATCATTCTTGAGATTTCTACTTCAGAAAATTATTAGTGTGCAACATTTTCCTCTTTTTGAAATTTTAGGAACTGTTTTTCCTTGGGCTGTTCCTAGTTTTGGGTCTTCCATTCTCCCTTGCTGTATTTGTTTCTTTATTCCTTGCTCTTGTGTTGTTGGGTCTGACATTTAGTACCTGCTGTCAAGAATATCTACAACCGGTGAGGTTTCATCAAAGGAAAACAAATCAGGAGAGATTCTTCCCATTTTTTTTTTTGATCAATAACAGAAACTTTTATTAATAAAGGAGAAGGAAGAAGATACAACAGGAGGGGAGGTAAAAACTCTTACCCCACCCTAAAAGAAAAACATCATATTCAACACAGCCCAAAAGAAACTAGCTCTTCCCACCCCTCGTTTAGCTAAACAGTCTGCGAAAGAATTGGCACTCCTCTTTGACCATTGAAGCTGAATTTGCATGTCTTGAGTAAGCTGGTAGATTTTCTTTTCTTCATTCGAGAATTTCCACATACTAGCATCTTCCTTTTGCAGCCAGTTAATAGTCAATTTAGAGTCTCCCTCCACCAGCAATTTCCTAATATTCATCTGTTTGGCTCTTTTTATTCCTTCTAATACTGCTGAAATTTCARCTCTCAAAGAATCCCCCCAACCTATAGGTCCTGAAAACATGGCCAAAACTCGACCACCTTCGTCCCTAAACACTCCACCTATACCTGAAGGGCCTGGATTTCCTTCGCTACTGCCATGAAAGTTCAATTTAGTGAACCCCAATGTTGGAGGAGACCAAGCTGGAGCCGGGGAATTAATCAACCGAGCGGACCAGGCAACTTCTTTCCAATTTCTAATGATATCTCCTGCTGAGAATCCTTCAAATAGCTTCATAGACTTGACCCAGTGAATCACCCTAACATAGATTAAGTCAATGGTGGCTTATTTGTTCTTTTCTTTATCATGGAAAGTACGTTGGTTCCTTTCCTCCCAAACTGTCCAGCATACAGCTGCTCTTACCTCTCTTTTTGACATCTCTACCTTTCAAATTACCAACATTAAGTTGGATGAATTCAACTATGCTGAATGGGCTATTTCGGCTAAGCTTGCTATTATTATTAGAGGAATGCAAGGACACATTAATGGACAGACCACTGAGCAAAGGTTCATCAACTAGAGTATAAATCTTGGTGTAAGGAGAATTCCATTGTGATGTCTTGGCTTCTCCAATCTATGACACCCAAGATTGCAAGAACATACAACATTACAGCACAGCGTATAAAATATGGACATGCTTCAAAAAACCTATGGACAGAAAGAATTTTGCTTGGGTGTATAGGTTGAACCAGGACATTGAAGCTATGAACCAAGGAACCTCACTATGGCCACCTACTTTGCAGCTTTGGAGGGTCTTTGGGAGGAACTTGGTCATCATCTGATTTTAGACTGGGAGAGCACCAAAGATAAAGAAAATCATGATTAACAGATTGAGAAAGGCTGGATATTTATGTTTCTTGCAGGGCTAAATCCCTCTTTTGAGAGCATTCGTTCCCAAATCTTAGGGAGGGATGAGCTACCTAATCTGCAGCATGTTTCTATTTAATCAGAAATGAAGAACTGAGAAGAAGTCATTTTCAGCCTACTGAACAATCAGCACTGGTTTCAGGCATTGGTAAAGGAAATACAAATGGTGACAAAAGAAACTTGAAGTGTACTCGTGGAAGAGAAAAACATACCAAAGACACATGTTGGATTCTGTACTCCCATCTCAAACCAACTATGTTATAGAAAGACGGAAACCATATAAAACCCTAGTGGTGGTGGTCATGTGGCTATATCAAATGTGGCTGATAGTGGAAAGAAGAATGCTCCTTCATGTACTTCTACTCATCAGTGATAGACCACTACTCCCAACCCTAACTTTCCTGACTTTATTGCTGAGGAGGTAGAAATTCTTAACCGAGCTATGGCTTGGCTGAAACAATCCTCATTTGCTTCCTCTTCATTTACTAAGTCAGGTATAGCTCTGCCTTTAACGTCACTCAACCTCCTCCACCATACTCATGGGTTATCGACTCTGGCACCTCTGAGCACATGACCAGTATGTCTTCATTGTTTTCTTGTATCACCTTACTCCTAGTCAGGATAAGGTTAAGATTTCTGATGACTCTTTCCACTATTTCTAGGAAGGGAGACATCACTCTTAGGGAAGGAACTTACCCTGAAATCTGTGTTACATGTTCCTAGTTTTACTACAACTTTGTTGATGAGACAAACAATTGAGAGTGGTTGTGGAGCTGGGGGTCTCTACTACCTGAATGAAGATATTGGTGTTTCTCTACAGGCATCTAGTGAGGATGGTTGCAAATAGTCAAGAGCTTATCTCTAGAGTTTTTTTTTTTTTTTTTTTGTGGCATGCTAGAGCTAGACTTGGCCTTTTGTCTTTTCCATCATTGAAAACTTTGTTTCCTGAATTGTTTAATAAAGTCTCATTACCGAATCTTTTGTATGAGATATGTTAGATGTCAAAACATTGTAAGAGCACTTATCTGAAGTCTATTAATGAAACTTTTGCTCTTTTTGATTTAGTCCATTTTGATGTGTGGGATCCTTCACCCGTTGTCTTTGTGGATGGTCATTGCTATTTTATTAGTTTCATTGATCACTTTTGCCAATGCATGTGGATTTATCTGATGTAAGAACGAAATGATGTCTAAAGGACTACTACTTTATTTTGTAAGGTAGTGGAGACACAATTTGGCAAAAAGGTTAAGCAATTTCTCTCAGACAATGCAACTGACTACTTCGAGGGTACCTTAAACATCTTCCTTAAAGATGGAATCATACATCAATCATCTTGCACTTACACCCCACAACAGGATGTGGTTGTTGAGAGAAAGAATTGCTATTTACTTGAGACTGCTCATGCCTTGTTGGATCTTCCTGGGTAGTGTAAATACCTGTGACATATGCTTCAGAAAAGAAGGCCAGTTAAATGCCTTTCACCTCACATGTGCTTCCTTTGCCTTGCAAATTGTGAATCCTTATCTCATTTGCTGCTTTCTTGCTCTTTTGTACTTGGAATTTGGGAATTGTGTTGTTCTCTTTTTGGTGGTAGGTGGACCTCTCCACAGGATGTAGTAAGTCTTTTCTGCCCATGTTTCCTGATACAACCAAGAAAGAGAGGAAGAATTATGTGGAAAGCAATTTAGGATGCAATAGTGTGGATTGTTTGAGAGGAAAGGAATGGAAGGATATTTAATGAGAAAAGTAGATTGAAAGAGGAAAGTTGTGAAGTTATAAAAATTAGAGCGGCACATTGGATGAAGACACTTGATATATTCAAAGATTTTTCAGTGAATGACATCATAAGGACACATGGACATGGACTGAAGTGGCATTCTCTTCTAAAGGAAAGGTAAAGATTAGTTATGGAGTGGATACCCCTGTTCTTCTGCATTAGTGTGACAGGCAGAGGGATCCTTCTCTACCATTTCTAGTCAACGATCTCTCTTCTTCATGGTCTTTCCCTACTAATGTTTTGCATGTTCCTAAACTTCTTATAAATTTATTCCTTATTAGCAGCATTACTCAATCTTTTGAACTATTGTGTGACCTTCTTCCCTCATTCTTGTTTTTTAGGATTTGACCTCCAAGAGGATGATTGGTTGAGGAACCATGGTTAATGGACTTTATATATTTTGGAGAATAAAGCTAGACTTATGGCATCTGAGTCAAGTAACATATTGAGTTAGACAAATAAGAGCCAAATTTACCTTTGGCATAGTTGTCTTGGTCACATTTCTTTTGAGTCTTTGAAGTGTTTACTTCTGAATTTGTTTAAGTCTATTTTGGTGTCTAGTTTGCAATGTGAAAATTGTCAATTGAGTAAACATTGTAGATCAATTTTTCTTTCAAGTAATAAAAGGTCCAATTTTCCTTTCAAATTGTTTATTATGATGTTTGGGGCCTTACTACTTTGCCTTCTACATGTGGTTACAAATACTTTATTACTTTGATAGATGATTATTCTTGATATGCATGGGTTTATCCAATGCATTCTAGGGAATAGGTTCCAAAGCTTGTGCAAGATTTCTAGCTTATGGTATTTACTTAGTTCAATGTAGAGATCCATATATTCTAGTTGGACAACCCAAAAGAGGACTTCCATGGGGATCTAAATAAATTCATTGCTTCGCATTGCCTTCACTGTAGTTGATGTGCAAAAACTCAACAAAATGGTGTAGTGGAAAGGAAGAATCTCCATCTCTTGGAAGTTGTTGGAGGTATGCTCCTTCATACAAATGTTCCCAAAAAATTTTGGATGGATGTTGTATTTGTTGCTACATATGTGATTAATTGGATGCCCCCCACCCCAGAATACTTCAATATAAGGCCCCTCATCAACTATTGTATCTTCAGTCACCCTCTTTTCGCTTCCTATGCATGTCTTTGGGTGTCACAATTTTGCTCATTATCTCTTGCCTAGTTAGGGTAAGTTGGACCCTAAGTCTATACCTTGTATTTTCCTTGGTTAGTTGTCATCTTAAATGGCTTGTAAGTGTTTTGACCTAGTATCCCATTGGTATTTTGTGTCCATGGATGTTTCCTTCTTTGACCATGAATAATTCTTGCTTTTCCTCAAGGGGAGAACAAGTGGTGGAGGAGAAATAGGTTCCGTTGATCCACCTTCCTTCCCTCCTAGATCCTACACCTCTGGCTCCTTTTTGTGTCTTTCTACGGTTTCAAAAGATGTGGAACAACCTAAGACTGTGTGATCAATGCCATCAGACTCTCTGGAGGAAAATCTGTCTTCCTAATTAGGTACTTTCATTCCCCTTGATGTTCTTGAACCTATTGCTATTGATGACCTTGGTAATGACCTTGGCATTCCTATTGTCTATAGAAAGGGTGTCAGGTCATGTACCACTAAGCATCCTATTTCCCATTTTTCGTCCTATATCCTAGTTTCATCATCTTTCCGTGCATGCTTGTGTAAAATATGCAAAATTATGGAATAATATTGCATGGAAAGATTGTAAAAATTATAGGCATGGTGGAAGCATTGTAAAATGTACAAAATTATAGAATAATATTTTATGAAATGATAAAAGAAGCACAAACAAACCTTTTAAAATTATCACATTCCAAATCATTAAACAAAGCTAAGGAACTAAGGTTATAGACAAACGAATAGGTTGTGGAGCTGTCTTGTAAAGTGTAAACCTTATGATTCAAAACTACATGATAGAATTAGTTAAAGAAAAATCTGAATTCATAGGAAATGCAAATGGTTCTTATATACCAAGCAAATAATCTATTACACAAACAAAAACTAATATTTAACTTCATGTTTGAAATGAATATTGAGCTGGCTCAAAGTGGTTATCAAGTTAGGTAGTTAGGCGGACAATAATATTGCTACTTAACATATCTACTAAATTATCACCAACTTGTGTTATAAATTTTATTGTCAAATTTCAATAAAATTTTGTGTTGCTACACATGGAAATTGAAATATGTTGTGGAAACTATCTCTTGTACTATACATAATACTGGTAGTGTTCACCAGAGAATATGTTGATAATTTCGCGTCACTACCCTGGAAATGGAAATATGTCATGAAAATATTAGGAAATTTAGGAACATTTTAAACCATGGGCTGGATGCCTTTGTTTGGTGCCTATAATTTGTCAAAGATAACCCATGTGAAAAGGAATAAAGAAAATTGAAGAGAAGAGAAGGGAAGGGAAGAGAAAAAGACAACAGAATGTGAGATTTTTTTAATCTAGTTCGTACAGAGGGAAGACCCCTCTGTTCCCTTTTATATTATTAAAATATAAATATTATAGAGAGGTCCTTGAGAACAGAAAAAATACAAAAAGACCGCCTGCGCCTGAAAACATAATAAAAAGCACCTTACACCATTCCCGCTGAGTTGTAGATATCATACATACCCAACTTGTCACATAGCTCTTCATGGCGCTGGGGAGTCAAACCCTTTGTAAACACATCAACCACTTGTTCCCTAGACTCAACGAATGGTATGCAAATTTCACCCCTTTCAACTCTTTCACGGATGAAGTTCTTGTCGATCTCAATATGTTTGGTTCTCTCATGTAGAACTGGATTGTGAGCAATGCTGATTGTAGCCTTGTTATTATAGTATAGTGACATAGGATTTGAATCCCACACGCCCAGCTCAGTGAGCAGATTTTTCAACCATAATAGTTCAGCAACTCCTTGAGACATAGCCCTATACTCTGCTTCTGCACTTAACTTTGCAGCCATAGACTGTTTCTTACTCCTCCAAGAGACCAAATTTCCTCCTAGAAAGGTGCAGTAACCAACAGTGGACCATCTATCATAAACAGAATCAGCCCTATTAGCATCAATATTACCTTCCACCTTGTTATGACCTTGTTTAGTGAAGAGAAGATCCCTACCAGGGTGTCTTTTTAAGTAGGACAGAACTGTCTTGGCAGCCTTAAAGTGGGAAGGTCTTGATGAGTGCATAAATCGATTCAAAACACGCATAGAAAATGGAACATCAGGTCTAGTCATGGAATGACAGAAGTCTCCCAGTAAGTCTCTAATACTGATGAGCATCAGAGATTGCTTCATCTTCATATTTTCCAATTTTATTGCTTGGATCCATAGGGGTCTCGGCTGGTTTACATCCCATCTTTCCTGTGTCCTTCAATAGGTCAAGGATATGCTCTTTCTTGAGAATGTGTAATTTAATATAGGCAGAAGCATCATCATCATCATCATTTTTCTAGTCAATGGTCCTATCGTGGTCCAACTCGTTCCACATAGATGTGAGAGAAGAATAGTAGGCTATAAGAGATTTGTCCCCTTGCTTATAGGTTGATGATTCAATTTGTAATTGATAGATTCTTGCAAAATGCCTTTGTTCGGAATAAGTTGATTTTGATTGGTCCCAAATCGAAGCCGTTTCAGCCCATATGAAGTTTTTTTCTAAGTGAAGGTTGAATGGAAGAAACAAGCCAAGACATGATTAAATAGATCTCTTGTTCCCACTTATCACAGTCAGCTCCTTCTATAGTAGGTCTCTTGGTCTTCCCAGTGAGATACCCCAACTTTCACTTGGCTCTCAAAAACATTTTTATACTTATAGACCACTCCAAGTAATTTAATCCATCAAGAAGGATGATATAAACTGGGAAATGAACATTCTCCATGCTGCTATTAGCATTAGTTTGCCCTCCAAGAGGATTAGATGTGACTGATGAATAAGAGATGAAAAAGAGCTAAACCGAAGCTCAAACATACACGTGAACAATAGGAAACTTCTAGAACCAAGGAAACATATAGTCGAATGGTTGGAGGACAACAAACATACCGGTTTTCAAACCTGTTTTCTGCAGAAACTTGGTTGTCTACTGCTGGTTCACACAGTTGTCAACCACTTTAAACATGAAAACCACCCAAAATACTTTTCCTTCGAAGCTCACACAGCCTTCCTACATGTCCTGACTCTTGAAAAGTGAAACAGAACCCACAAACAAGAAACAACTGGCCCTACAACCAGAAAAAAGGAAAAAAAGGCTGAAGAGATGAGATCTGGTCAATCAAAGATTACAATGCTGCACCCTTCAAGAAACCAGATTTCTGTAGAAGATGAGAAGGGAAAAAAGGGTTTTCTAACAGATTATGCTCTGATACCATGTATTCTATCAAAGGTAACCCATGTGAGAAGAGTTGTTTGAAACCAAGGAGGATCAGACCTGTTTAGTAAACAGAAAAAAGAAAACAGAGATGAAGAGAAGAGAAGAGAAGAGGAAGGAAGAAGAGAGATTAGAAGAGAAAAAAAGGGGGGTTCGATCAGGCTTGGTCTGCCACCCCAAGTGCTATTTAAAATATGCCTATAATAATGTGGTACAATGACAGGAATACCCCTATCACTAGAAACAACTGAAAAGAGTATTCTAACAGCACTATAATAAAAGGAAGAAAGAAAATAGAAGAGAGAAGAAGAGAAGAAAAGAGAAGAAGACAACAGAATGTGAGGATTTTTTTTTTAATCTAGTTCGTACAGAGGGAGGATCCCTCTGACCTCTTTTATATTAATAGAATATAAATATTACAAAGAGATCCCTGAGAATAGAAAAATTACAAAAAGACCTCCTGTGCCTGAAAACATAATAAAATGCACCTTACAACAGTGTCTTTGGACAACATTCTTACCGTGGGCAATTTGAAGAGAGGCTTTAAAATGACAAGCCTTTGTTACATGTGTAATCCGGATATTTTCTCAGGTTGTAGGGTGGAGTGAAGCCCTATTTTTTTGGTTCTTGTTCAGGTAATCAATTAGTTTCTTTGTTTTCAGTCATCCATTTTTACTATTTGAAATATTTCTTTAGAAGTATTGGACCTATGGGAACTCTGGAGTAG